GGGATGGTAGCGCCTAAGACCGTGGTTGTCGAGACACTGCCTTTTTTTCCCGCCACGATGCCTGACTCTGTCACTGGTGGCTGGAGAGCTCGACCGAGATGTGCGTTGTGCGCCAGCGCTTCTCGCCACAGCCTGGATCCTCGGCTGTCTGCATTGCCTCGGCCAGGGTAAGATTCCAGTCCAGGAGTAGTTCGACACAGGCTTCGTCGTCGTAGTAGGCATAGACCGGGATGCTTGTCTTCTCGGGGTCTTTGGTGCTTCTTCTCCGCTTCTGCGCTTGAGGTGGGGCCGGGAAGACGGCCCTGCGCCGCTTGCCTGTCTGGTGACAGTGGAACGACACTGATTCCACTTGAGTTGCTGGGTTGTCGAGGTGCAGATTCCCGCGACTGAGGATCTTGCTTGCGGGGTGCCGGGGTTTGAGTGGAGGTAAGTCTCGGTGCTTGCCGTCGGCGTCACAGTGGATGGGCACGTCCTCGTTCATGTCCATTTCCTCACAATCTTCACTGTCGTCATCTTCGCAGTCGTCATATTGGGCTTCGTGCATTTCCCTCAGTAGTCGCAGGATGTCGGTGGGCTCCGCGTGCGCACCGCGCTGGTCCAGGTATTCCTGGGTGCCATACATCCCGCACAAGCCTTTTGACTGGTACAAGGACAACTGTGCCAACGTGGTAAGTCGTGCATCTGGGATGCTGCCCGGCGCCTCTCGTCTGTGGAAGCAAAATCTTCACCGAGCCGCTTCTTCAGGTCCTCGGACGCGTAATGGAAGGATGAACACTAGCAGGAGTTGGGCGCGGGGCAACCTTGGTCCATCCTTTGCTTCTCTCCTTGGTCGTCGGTGCGATGCTGCATGAGAGGAGAAGTCGCAGGAACTGACGAGGCAGGTCGCATCTGAAGTGGACGCCATCAGTGGTTGTTCTGCAGGCATCGATAGACTGGCCTCAGAAGCCCAGGTATCTCATGCGGCAGTGATTGTGCGGAGTTTGCAGCGATCGCGGCCTTGCCACGGAGCCTATGAGGAGGAGCGGCTTGCAAGTGA